GGGAAAATGCCTTCACCTCTCTTAGTGGAAATCTCTTCTGTAAAAGTAAAAAAAAAAAAATGCAGAGTAAATTTAGGGAGTAAATATCTAATATTTACTCAATACCTTCTAGGGCACAGTTATTGTCTATAATTTACAGATTAGCAAACTGAGATTCAAAGAGTTTGGTTATTCCAGCCCTTTCCCCCTTATCCAGGAAAGAGATAATAGAGAGAATGGAAGGGAAAATATAGAAATGAGTCAAAGTGCTAAATATACACATGCAAAATAGTATGAAGATGATAATATTGTGACAAGTCATAAACCTAATGCTTCCACCCATCTCTCTGTTAATTTTTTGTGTTACAGTAATCATAGCAAGAACAGAGTGAGAAATTAAGAACTGAAAGTGAGCCCAGCCAGTGTGTCTCAGTGGAATCATGGACCAGGAAGTCATGGTTTGATTCCTGGCCAGAGCAAATGCCTAGGTTATGAGCTTGATTAATGATTCTCTCTCGTTATTGGTGTTTCTATGTCTCTCCCCCTCTCCCTTTCTCCCTGAAATTAATAAACTTTTTTAAAACAAACTGAAAAGAAAAATCAGTGAGATGGAAACATCCAAGTGTCTAGGAAAAGTAAGGGCCATTTAATGGCAAGGATTAAGGTGCTATATTTTACTACTAGTTGAAAATGCAAATGATGCCATCATTAACAATTTTTTAGCAATATTTCTTAGTATTCAAAGAGCAGTTGTGAGGTTTGAAAACAATTTAAACTGAACAAAAACTAATGCTGCTTTGACTGATTCTGTACTGGAGTTTTCCCTTCCCCTCCTCCCAAACACAGTATCTTCTATGAATGCACAGTGAGTCAATCTATATCTTGATGGTTGAATAAGCTCTTTGATTTTTGAATTATTTTGAGATTAACTGAATTTGAAATGTGGGCTGCCTGCAATGTCTTGCTGGCACAAAAAGATGAGCTTTGTTATTGACAGAGAAGACTTGCAAACGACATTTTTATTATTATTCTCCTGCATTGAACTCATGTTAGCTTCAGCCTGGCTCTGCTGCCTGGACGAAAGCTGTGAGGCCAGGTTCAAAAGTGCAATTTACAATCTTCTCTCTCAATTCCCGTGTAGCACAGGGTGACTTCTGCCTGGGAGACAAGACACATATTTCTTGCTGCAATCAAGGAATATTGGCCATTATATTAGGGTTTTTGAGAACCTGCATAATGTTCCAAATGAGTATAAGCTGTCATCCAAGAATCATATTATGTATAAGTTGAATCAGAATGGCACTGAAGCTGTTCAAAGGTTTGTGTGTGAGCCCTACAATCCTGTCCTTGGTTCCAAAGGAAACCTAGAAATTTCATATCAGCCCTAGGGCCTCAATCTGTGGTGTCCCAGGTAATCAAGCATCCTCTTTATTCCTATAGTAACTCACACACTTTCTCCTCTTTTCTCTATCTGTTTTCTTTTGCTTTTTTTTTGTTTGTTTCTCTGTTTTCTTAATCTAAGGCTCTGTTATCTACATGAAACAAGTACCTTCTCCATCCAGATTGTCATCTCTGTCTGCCTACTATTCCTTCTCCCTTGACATAAAAGCACCCATGAGGTAGACACAAAGATTAGCTAGTCTGTTCAGCCACCTATTAGGAATTCTATTACATAAATAATAATGATTTTAAATGAACCTATGGTTATTTGCACAGGCTAGTACTTCTGACGTGATCTTCCTTTTACCATTTCTATTATAAAGGGTAAACCTTATGAAACAAGTGTTTACAGTATCACTGTTTAGTAGGGGTGTCGAACTCAATCAGAGAAGGGGCCAAAATCTAAAATCCAGCCTAAATCGCGGGCCGAATGGTTTACTGAACAGTCATAAACTGTCATTGTGATGGAAACGCAGCGGAGTGCAGTGATGACAGCGCTGTGCGGGCCACATTGCAAGGCCTGGCGGGACGGATTTGGCCCGCGGGCCTTGTGTTTGACACATGTGGACTCTAGAGGATACAGTAATGTTTAAAAAAATTTAGACAACAGGCCTCAGAAAGGCCTCTCGGGAAACAGGCAAGCCTTGTGCATGGTGGCAAGTGAGAATGTGGCCCAATTACAAACGTAGGAATCACAAGACTTACTGAAACCCCAGCCCTTCCAGATATCTCCCTCTGTCTCAAATTCAGGGTCAGGAAAAGTAACAATGCCCCTGGACAACTGACAAACAGCAACCTTCAGCATTCCCACAGGAACTCTGTGCCATCACTCCTGCCCAGTCATTCTGCAAACCACTGCGAACTACTTCCTCCTTACTATTTTCTGCATCAGGCAAAACAGGCTCCAACCTGAACTCAGTGGGAGGAATTAATTCTTCTCTACCAGTTATTCCCTGCTTTTACTTCACACAGCAGCAATAACTTGTGCCCAAGGATCATACATAAACTCTACAGATATGACTATCATCTATTTTTTTTTTGCTATTATCCCTACCATTAGTACAACTGCAAGCAGCTTGAGGCGAGAGCCTCATTGCTGGATCCCCTGGTGATGCCTATCACACAGTAGATATCACACAGTAGATGCCCAATAAATATGTATTGGATTGAGTTGTACCAGTCAGTTACATTATCAGTATTAAATTATTCAGTTTCCTGCCTTATTCACAAAAACATCTGCAGCCCTCTCCTCCTTGTTCTTTACTTCATTTCTAAGACAAAGGATAAAAGTGTCACTTTAAATTCAGTGGCTCTCCTTTTATTAAAAGGTAACCAGCTACAAGGTTTTTCTCTCCCACTGATACCATATGAGAAAACAATTAGCAATTTTTTTTTTCTGACATCAGTAAGTGACCTCAATAATAATCTTATCAGGCTTATCTCTTTGGGGAGTTTATTCCGAAATCAATTCAAGTTGCATTATAAATTAAAAAGAAGAGAAGCATCAGCTGTTTTGCTCAGTGGATAAAGTGTCAGCCTGCGGATTGAAGGGTCCCAGGTTCGATTTCAGTCAGGTGCACATGCCTGGGTTGTGGGCTTGAGTCCCAGTAGGGGGCATGCAGGAGGCAGCTGATCAGTGATTCTCTCTCATCATTGATGTTTCTCTCTCCCTCTCCTTTCCTCTCTGAAATAAATAAAAATATTAAAAAAAAGAAGAGCAAAGTAATTCCTAGATTTCTCTTCTTTTTTAAAAATATATTTTATTTATTTTTTTACAGAGAGGAAGGGAGAGAGATAGAGAGCTAGAAACGTCGACCAGAGAGAAACATCGACCAGCTGCCAATGTACATGCCCTAGACCGGAATCAAACCTGGAACCTTTTAGTCCACAGACCGACACTCTACCACTGAGCCAAACTAGCTTTGGTCTAGCTTTCTCTTCTAATGTGAACACATCAGTTAGGAATATCCTGATTAAAATCTCAGGATTGTATCATAAATGATTTATTCAATTTTTTCTTTTTAAGCTGTAGACTTAATTTGTTAATCTTCTGAAATTATTTGTTTCAATAACTGTTTCTATATTTACTTTTTGTTCATCCACTCATGTTCTCACAAGTTCTTTTTCCCTAGAATAATAGAAATATAGACCATTCATTATATCCATTTCTGCTATGTGCTTGCCACTCACTAATGGGAACAGCTTCTAAATCCAAACTATTGTAACTTCTCAAATTAGGCAGTCTATTAAACACTTCCATTGGAAATCCCATTTCTTTTATCTTCCTTTCAACATAAGCCAATAATTATGGCTACTCTGATGACCTGCATAACTTCAGTCTAACCCTGTTACTTTCTTATACACATGCAAACTCAGAACATAAAAAGCCCAATGGCTTTTGTCAGTGCACTAAATTTAACAAATATTCATCCAGATTTCTTCTTATTTTTCATCTGAATGTCTGTGACCTCTATGATTCTTTCCACAACAAATCTTCTATTTCAAGTTTAAAATGAGTCCATAGTCTACAATTACATGAACTCTGCATTATTGAAGTCATCTAATTAGCTGGTAATGATCCTGTTTTTACAGTTTTTATAACCTCCATTTCTGCTCAGGTCTCTTTTTCTTCAACCTCTTAACCTCTGACACATAACACATTTCACTTCCCCCAGTCATATCAGAGGAAGTATGTTTTGATTGCTTTGTATATTGTTTACATTCTTTGATCAATTTAAAAAAGAATTAAATTAGCCCTTCTTGAAACTAGTCCATTTGTTAAGAACATTTATTCATTTGATATTTGTTAAGCAACAAGAATTCCATACAATAACTTGGTTAAAGACTTCCCAGTCAGTGTTACATGATAATCTTGAATCAAATAGCTTAGTGACTGCATGATTTGACCCTAAAGGTATTATAATTAGACTTACATTTGAACAATATCACATTGGATGCTGTAATGAGAATAGACCGTACAAAAGGATGGAAATAGAGAAATCAATTAATAGGCTCTTTCAATAAACCAGGTGATTGTGCTTTGGACAAAAATGGCAGCAATAGAGGCAGTGAGAAATAGAATCTGGATATATTTTAAATATAAGGACAAGATTTCAAATAAAATTACTGAAATGGGATAGAGGTTGGAGCAGAAGTTGGATTTTCAAATTTCAAATTTGAGATGCTTTTTAGAAATCAAAATGAAAATTCATATTAGGCGGTTTTCTATTTGATTCTGGGCTTTAGGAAAGAGTCTGAGCTAAAGATATAAATGTACAGCTATTCTGCATATAGATGGTGGTTAAAGCCATGAGACTGGATGAGATCATTAAGGGAGTAAGAATAGATAAAGTTCCAAGAAATGAGATCTAGAATACTCCAGCAATTAGAAGTAACAGAATAAATGTGTATCTTGGAAGTCAGGTGAATAAATTTTTAACATGGTACAAGAAATCATCAACTGTGACAAATACTACTAAAAAGGCAAATAAGATGAGAACTAAGAATTTACTACTGGGTTTGGCAGTTTATTGCTGTTCAATGACTATGATGAATCACTTCAGGGGAGAGGTGATTATAACAGCCTAATTAGAGTGGGTTCAGGAGAAAAGCTATCCAGAATCTATCTCCTGTCCAGATCCTTCTTTTACCAGTTCTTTGATACAGCCAGGGAGCAGTAATGTGACAAATTGAGCTAATCCAATGTTCTAATATGAGTTTGCATTTTTTTCATAAGAGAATCAAGGAAATAGAAATTTACATGTGTGGTGGAACTAGTGGCAACATCAGTAGTGTCTTAATCAGCTGATTACCACTATGAAATAGTGTCCCTACATTCCCTGGAGCTTCTTCAGATTTTGCTATTTACAAACTTAGTTTCCCAGTCTCCCTTCAATTGTAAGCATCCCTGATATCCTTCAGAAATAAATCCTTTAGCCTGGGTGTGTTTCTATGGCTTGGAGACCAGAACCCCAATTTACATAGTAGTACAACATTGTATGGAAGCCAGGCCATTTGCTGTAGTAGTAAGGATTGGAAGACTAGCTCAGATTTTAGATAAATAGGACTGGACTTCCATCCTCAAGAGTTCAAGGTTTGGGAAGTTGTTTTTATTTTTCTTGATGTTTTGCTGAAACACCAGCAGAATTGGTTTAGAACTCAGTGCAACTTAATTTGATGAACATGGATTAAATCATATAACTGAGAACTTCAGTGAATAGAAGAAATAAAGCTAGTGAGATGTAGACTGAGACTGAACAATTGGGGGCGATCACATGGGAACCCAAATGTATGGCAAAATTGGACTTCTTGAATTACTACTCTTTTGTCCCATCATATTCTTTTTCCAAATGACAGTTTAAATACTCTTGATGAAGTTTGATGTAGAGTCAATCCTTAAAAAAGGGAAGAAATAGGATTCAGAAAATGGCAGCGAAATAGACAGACATGTCCCAAGCCTTGTCCCAGGGCAGAAAGAAAGAGCAGCTGAAGGTCACACGGGGAGTATTTGTTGGCAAGTGAAGGGACAGCTATACTCCACTAGAAGGTGGGGGACTGCTGGAGGGGGTTCTTTGACCAGGCAGCAACTACTGCTGCTGGGTCCCCTTCCCAGAGCTACAGGCTCAGATGCAGAGACAGTGCCATCTTGAAGGAGAGGGTGGATCTTATTGGAAGCCTGAAAAATCTAAAGCTGTGGCAGCCAACAAACAGCTGCAAGCCCCAGAGTACCGGTCCCCAATTGGCGCAAACACATGAATTCAGAGGAACTCTGCACTCCACTATGGAAAAGTCAGATTTCACCTGGGATAAGGGGAGGTCTCTGGTTCGTCAGGGAGAGAGAAATGCATGTTTTGCCGGAGTAAGAGGACTGAGGAAGTCAGTGCCTAGAAAAATCCATGACTGTTGGGATTGGCGAGATCCGTGAATGTGGAAATGGGTCCTCAGACCTGCTAACAGAGAGGATCTCTAAAAAGCAACCCATTTTGATCTGACGCAAAGGGACTGCCTAAGGCAGGTGTCGGCAACCTACGGCTCCAGAGCCGCATGCGGCTCTTTTGAAGCTTTACCGCGGCTCCGACAACTTGCAAGCCTGTGTGAAAATGAAGGTAACGTCTTACAGCCCTGATGTGCTGACACTGTGCACTGAGGTTCAGGAGCAAAAATCCCATTAACCAGGTAAATTAAATATTTTAATTAGCTATTAATTTGCAAAAATATATTTTACATTGTTAAGTGGAAAAGTCCTTTTTTTCTTCAGATTGACAGCTAACTGCACGATCCAGTATATAGCATTAAGGTAAGAAACAATATATGCAGTGTTATATTTGTTTTAAATGTCGCAATGGTTTTGAGGCTCCCAGGTTTTTTTTTCCTTCGGAAATGGGACCAAGTGGCTCTTTATGTCTTAAAGGTTGCAGACCCCTGGCCTAAGGGATCAAAAGTGTGCCAGCTGTTTAGACACAAGGTGGAAAAGGGGACTGCACAGACTTGAGCTCAGACCCATTGTTCACATACTTGGGCTTTTTCCTCTTCAAATCCTTGCTTTGGATTACTAAGCCCAATACATAGGATCACCCAGTTGGGGACACACTGGGAGACTGCAGGGGAAAGTTGTTTTTCTGGAACCTGAGGATCAGAGTGGGGAGTGACCAACTGAGAGCCAGCTCTGAGGCAGTCCACTCCCACAAAATGGTATTCAGTGCCACAGGAAAAGAAGGATCTAAATACAGGCTAGAGAGGCCAAATAGATCCAGAAATCAATCCAGAAACACTGCCACCCAGGGGTTGAATCACAAATTGACTCTTGTGTAATCAAAAATAAAAGAATACAAGAAATTAAGACACCGCCTACTTAAAAATCAGGACTGGCTTACAACACTGAGGAGCAGTGGAACACAGGGAACTGTAATACTGTCCTGACTGTGAAATAGGCATGCCAAACAGAACAACAGAGGAAATTAATGACCTTCACTACTGATTTTATTTATTTATTTATTTACTTATTTACTTATTTTTATTTTCATTTTTTATTTAAGAAACTATTTTTTCTTTTTTCCTCACTTGGTTTTACCTTTTTAATTATTATTTTTTATTTTTGATCAGTATTATTACTATTATTTTACCTTTTTTAAAGTGTTGTTTTACTTTCTCCTTATTTTATGTTGGAACTAGTGTTCTACATTCTATTTTCATGTTTCCTTTAGCATCATTTTACTCTATCTCAACTCTACCTTTATGCCATCACTCTCTTCCTAATCTTTCCTCTTTTGGTGTCCTATTACTCTTACCTCTTTCGTACTTTAGATTTTCCCTAGTCTTTCTGTTGACCCCCTGTTAAAATTTCACCCTACTTATATATCTAATTTCCAATCCCTGCTCCAAATCCATACACACCCCTCTCTTTGCTGTCTTAATTATCCAAAAAATTATTTTTATCTCTGTCCTTTTCTTGTTGTTTGCTTGAATGTTGATTATATCAAATTTTTATGCTTTTTTGTGATATTGCTTTGCTTATTCTTTTTGATTGCTTGTTTGATTTTTGCTTGCTTTGTTTTTGTTTGTATTTTGCTTATGTTTCCCCTCACTTTGCTTTATATTAGTTGGTGTTGTAGTTTGTATTAATCTCCAGGTATATGTTGAAGGCATTTGCTGGGATTAGTGGCTGTTCTATTGGAGTTTTCTCCCCATATTTAAAAGTTGTTCCCCTTTCTTTTTTAATCTCTTTTTTATCTCTCTTACTTTTCTTATCCTTATCCTAATTTCATTTAGACACTCCTTTTTTGTCTCCTTTTCCTCTTCTTCTTTCTCTTCTATCAACTAATTTGCCTTTCTCTGGTGGTCACCTTTATTGGAGGTTATTAATATTGTGAATACATTTCTGTTCAGTGCCTTGTGTGTTGTACCTGGTTGTGTTGTGTTTTGTGCCTTTAAATCAACACAAGATAGAGAGAACAATATAACCAGATATCTCTGAGAACAGAGACCATGGGAAGACAAAAAAAAAAAAAACAGCCCATATAGAAAAGAAAAGCAGGCACCAAAAAAAAAGGTAGTAAATTAAATATAGGCAAGCAAACTATTAGAGAAAGAATTCAGAGAAATTGTCATAAGGTGACTGAAAATAATGGAAGACAAATTCAACAATATGAGTAAGAACCAAGAAGAAATGAAGAAGAACCAAGAAGAAAAGAAAATTGACATTGCTGCTGTAAAGAACTCAATAGAAAAAATCAAGAGTAGACTAGAAGAAGCAGAGGACAGCATCAGTAATCTAGAAGACAAGATTGAAAAAAAAAATACCCATGTAGAGCAGCTTCTAGAAAGAAAAAAAATTAAAAAGCAGGAGGAGAGCTTAAGTGAACTTTGGGACAACACCAAACAAAACAACATCCACATAAAGGGTTTCAGAAGGAAAGGGAACTGAGAATGGAAGAGAAAACCTGTTTGAAGAAATAATGACAGAAAACTTCCCTGATATAGGGAAGAAAAACCCACGCAAATCCAAGAAGCTCACAGAGTCCCAAGCAAAATCAACCCCAAAAGACCAATGCCAAGGCACATTATACTTAAATTGACAAACAGAATGACAAAGTAAGAATATTAAAGGCGGCCAGAGAGAGTCAGAAAGTTACATACAATGGTTCCCCCATCAGACTTGCAACTTATTTCTCAAGAGAAACTCATCATCAGGACAGAAGGGAATGGAATGAAATATAAAGTCATGCAAAGGAAGGGTCTGAATTCAAGAATACTGTACCCAGCAAGGCTATCAATCAAAATTGAAGGTGAAATCAGGAGCATCACAGACAAAAAAGGACTAAGGGAATTTATTACCACCAAACAAGCAATGCAAGAAATGCTAAAGGGTCTGCTGAAAAGAGAGAGAGAGAGAGAGAGAGAGAGAGAGAGAGAGAGAGAGAGAGAGAGAGAGAGAGAGAGAAAGAAAAGAAAAGAAAGAAAGAAAGAAAGAAAGAAAGAAAGAAAGAAAGAAAGAAAGAAAGAGGAAGCGAAGAAGGATCACAGGGGTAAAGAATAAAAATTGTGACAAAATAAGTACCTATAATAATAATTTTAAATATAAATTGATTAAATTCACCGATCAAAAGACATAAGGTAATGGATTGGATAAGAAAACAGGACCTGCTGAAACCGGTTTGGCTCAGCGGTAGAGCCTTGGCCTGCGGACTGAGGGGTCCAGGGTTCAATTCCGGTCAAGGGTATGTACGTTGCTTGTGGGCACATCCCCAGTAAGTGGTGTGCAAGAGGCAGCTGATCGATGATTCCCTCTCATTGATGTTTCTGACTCTCTATCCTCTTTTCCTCTCTGTGAAAAATCAATAAAATATATTTTAAAAAAGAAAAGAAAACAGGACCCATATATCTACTGTCTACAGAAAAGCAAGCTTAGAAATAAAGACGTACACAGACTGAGGGGAAGGGATGGAAAAAGGTTTCCCAGGCAAATGCAAATGCAAAAAAAAAAAAAAAGCTAGAATAGCAATACTTATATCTGACATATTAGATCTCAAAGTGAAGGACATAATAAAAGATAAGGAAGGCCACTTCATAATAATAAAGGGAGCAATCCAACAAGAGAAATAACTCTGGTAAACATATATGCACCCAATACAGGAACACCCAAATACATAAGAAAACTTCTGGAGGATATCAAGAGAGAGATTGACAGCAATACAATCATAGTAGGAGACTTTAATACACCACTATCACCATTGGTCAAATTCTCTAAACAAAAAATCAGGATAGAAACATCAATCCTAAATGACTCACTAGACCAGATGGAATTAATTGATATCTTCACAACATTTCAGAACCCCAAGCCATGGAATATACATTCTTCTCAAGTGAACATGGATCATTTATCAAAGATAGACCATATTTCCAAAACCACTTTGGCTCAGTGGATAGAGTGTTGGTTTGCAAACTGAAGGGTCCCAGGTTCGATTCTGGTAAAGGGCATGTACATTGGTTGCAGGCACATCCCCGGTAGGGGGTGTGCAAGAGGCAGCTGGTCGATGTGTCTCTCTTATCAATGTTTCTAGCTCTCTATCTCTCTCCCTTCCTCTCTGTAAAAAAATCAATAAAATATATTTAAATAAATAAATAAATAAATAAATAAATAAATAAATAAATAAATAAAAGGCCAGTGTAAGCAGAAGGAAAGAAATAATAAAGATCAGAGTGGAGATAAACAACATGCGACTAAAGAAACAATATAAATGATCAACAAAACCAAGAGCTGGTTCTTTGAAAGGATAAACAAGATTAATGAACCTCTAGTCAGGTCCACCAAGAAGCAAAGAGAGAGGAACCAAATAAACAAAATCAGAAATCAAAGAGGTGAAATAAGAAGATTTGTAAGAGCCCACTGAAATACAAAGGATTGTTTTAAAATACTATGAAAAATTCTATTCCAACAATCTGGACAGTCTGGAGGAAATGGACATATTCCTAGAAAAATATGACCTTCCAAAACTCAACCTGGAAGAGTCTAATTAGCTCAATAGGCCAGAAACTATGTAAGAAATTGAAGCAGTCATCAAAAAGCTCCAGCAAACAAAAGCCTGAGGCCAGACAGTTTCACAGGCAAGTTTCACCAAACATTCAAGGAAGAACTAAAAACTATTCTCATCAGATTATTCCAAAAAATTCAAGAGGAAGGAATACTTCCAAGCTCCTTCTATAAATCCAGCATCACCCTAATACAAAAACCAGTTAAACACAACGAAATGAAAGAAAATTACAGGCAAATATCCCTCATAAACATAGATGCCAAAATCCTCAACAAAATTCTAGCAAATCAGCTCCAGCAGTACATCTGAAAGACCATACATCATGACCAAGTAGGATTTATCCCAGGAATACAAGGATGGTACAATATCTGCAAATCAGTAAACGTGATACATCACATAAACAAATTGAAAGATAAAAAATCACATAGTCATATCAATTGATGCAGAAAAAGCATTTGACAAAATCCAACATCCTTTCCTGATAAAAACTCTCAACAAGGTGAGAGTATAAGGATCATACCTCAACATAATAAAAGCTATATATGATAAACCCACAGCTAACATCATACTCAATGGGCAAAATCTAAAACAATTTCCCCTAAGAACAAGAACAAGACAGGGATGCCTATTGTCACCACTCCTGTTTGACATAGTACTGGAAGTAATAGCCAATGCAATTAGACAAGAAGAAGATATAAAGGGCATCCAAATTGGAAAAGTAGAAGTAAAGCTGTCCTTATTTGCAGATGATGTGATATTGTACATAAAAAAATGGAAAGACTCCATCACAAAACTAATAGATTTAATAAATGAATTCAACAATGTAGCAAGATACAAAATTAAAGCCAAGAAATCTATGGCATTTCTATACACCAATGGTGAACTTACAGAAACAGAGACTAAAAAAGCAATCTCATTTACCATCACACCAGAAAAAAAATAATAAAATAAAATAAAAAATAAGATACCTAGGAATAAACTTAACTAAGGAGGTAAAAGACCTATACACGGAAAACTACCGGACACTGAAAAAAGAGACAGAGGAAGATGTAAACAGATGGAAGAACATACCATGTTCATGGATTGGTAGAATCAACATCATTAAAATGTCCATACTACCCAAAGCAATCTATAGATTCAATGCACTCCCCATTAAAATACCAATGGAATATTTCACAGACCTAGAAAGAACTCTCCAAAAATTCATTTAGACTTAAAAAAAAATTCCCAAATAGCCACAGCAATCCTGAGAAAGAAGAATAAAGTAGGAGGGATCTCAATACTAGATTTCAAGCTATATTACAAAGCCACTGTTCTCAAAGCAGACTGGTACTGGCAGAAGAATAGTCATATAGATCAATGAAATAAAATAAAGAATCCAGATATCAACCCAAACCACTTTGCTCAATTAATATTTTACAAAGGAGGCATGAACATACAATGGAATCAAGACAGTCTCTTCAATAAATGGTGTTGGGAAAATGGGACAGATACATGCAAAAGAATGAAACTATTGATAGATCACCAACTTACACCATACACAAAATAAATTCAAAATGGATACAGGACTTAAACATAAACCAGGAAACCATAAAAATACTAGAGGAATTCACAGGCAGCAAAATCTCAGACATATGCCGAAAGAACTTCTTCACTGATACTGCTCCTAAGGCAATGGACGCTAACCAGAAAATAAACAAATGCGACTACATCAAAATAAAAAGCTTTTTCACAGCAAAAGAAACCATCAATAAGACAACAAGAAAGCACACTATATGGGAGAACATATTTGCAAATGTTATCACTGATAAATGTTTAATCTCCAACATCAAGAGGCAGTTTATACAACTTAATAAAAGGAACATAAATGATCCAATAATAATAA